CAGCTTTCCAAATGTTAGAGTTGTTTATAGATAAAACTAAGCATTTCCATTCTTACCAAATATCTACACATATGTCCTATGAGATCTAAAATTAATTTTAATAACAGGCCGTAACTCTTTTGGGGGGGGCAAAAGACTGGGCTTTTATGCTCTCGTTTTAACTGACATTTTATGTGTGGTTTTCCATTTGAACAAAATGGATTGAGAACAGAGGTGAAGTTCAGGAGTGGTCACCTTAGCACTTTATAATGGTTAATAGTTACTGAATTCTTACTGTATGGTCCACACTGTTCTAAACATTTACCATGGATTAACCGCTTTAATCCTCACAACAAATTCCCGGCTGCGTGATCCTGGGCAAGTTACTTAGGTTTTCTAAGCCTCGATTCCATTTCCAGAGAAAGAAATGGAAGCTTAGAAGGTTAAGTGACTTGCTGAAGTTCACTCAGCCAGTGAAAGGCAGAGCTGGGACTTGATCTCAGCAGGTCTTCCCCACCAACAGGACTGCCTTTGGCATCCTCAGGGATCACTAACTAGAGGCAGAACTAGACACTCCCAAAGGAAATGCTCACAAAATTAGCACTCACATTCCTATTCACTTGCTCTGTGAGATTCTTCTAAAATTGAAATGGGCAAATGATAATGAATAAGAAACGCATGAATTCTTTTCCCCATTCCCACCCTAATCTTTGAGACTTAAGCTTTCAACCTAGGTGGCCTATAAACTTCTTTGAAAGGCGATCCAAAGCTTGCAACAACTTTCTCAATGGCTTTGAAAAGAAGGCTCTGATGCCTTAATGATCTTAAAAAACATTTCTGTCTTTATAGCTAATGTATGACTGAAAAAAAGACATAAATCTCCGATTAAATGGACACCATACATCAAATCCCCTTTGTGACTAAAGAAATCAGGTACACGTTGAAGATGGAAGGACATATTTTGAAGATGGTTTCAGAAAGATAAGCAAATATAGATACGCCCAGTTCTTAAGGAACGATTTTAAAAGAATCTTAAAAGACAATGTGGCATTACTGAAATTCTGCACCACGGCTCCAGCCCGCCTAATTCATGCCTTTGTAAGAGGAGTGAGAGAGGGAGTGAAAGTCACTTCAGCAAGGCTTACGTTTATGAAAAACACATGGGCTTTTAAAGCCAGCTAAACCTGAATTTGCATCTCAGTTCTACAGTTTTCAAGGAATGTGGTCTTGAAAGTTACTTAAATTCACAAGCCTCAGTTTCTGCATCTGCTAAAATGGAATAACTACCTCCTTGCAAAGACACTGTAAGGGTTATGGGTAATGTGTGCAATGTGCTTGGCACGTGGTAGGTCCTCAACAAACTGTAGCTGATAATAACAACAAGAACAGTGTTAATAAAAACAATAAAAAATTCTGCCAACAGCAGAGACCAGTGGAAGTATGATGATGGTTAAGAGCACGGACCAGGGGTGAGACCACCTCAGCTTTTATCCTGGCTTTCCTTTCCTCGTAGAATTCACATCTTATTGAAGAAAGACTGTTCTCGGTTTATCTCTGCTCTCATAACATAACATCTCCAGGGCTTTACGTGACATCTTAGGCTCTTCACTTCAGCAAATTACTTAACTCTTCTCTGTACCAGTAACCACAGCTGTAAAATGGGGCTAATAATAGTATCTACCTCATATGTTTGTGGTGAGAATAAATGAGTCCATCCACATAGAGCTTAGAACCACGTCTGACCCTGACACATTATAAGAACTCAGTGCTAGCTGTTTTTTTAGTTGTTGTGTGAAGGACACTCCAAAACCAACACCAACCACCTGGATAAAAACTGCCCACCCATAATGCTGTTTAACAGATTGAAACTAGAAGAGCATGAGAACTCCTGAGGCTGGCAAGACAGCATTTCAGACTAATGGCTAGAATAATATAAGATCAGAAGTTATCTCAAGGGAAAAAATCAAAATGAGACTGCAGTTTACAAGGAGGTGTGATCAGTTAACTGGTAATCCTACTAAGACTCCAGGGTTGCCAAAGGGCTTCACTGTAAAAGGACTTTGTAAATGTCGCTTTTAAAAGTCAAAGCAAATAAAAAAGTGGAGAAGAATGAGAACGAGGCAAAGGGAACACAGGTTGCCTTCCTCCTTTCCTCAGAACATGTTGTGTTTTCTTCCCCCATGCTTTGCCATATTTCTAAATCCCTTTTGCAAAGGTCAGAAGAGCAGCACTAATCCCATTGTGTCACTTCCCAACATACTACTTAAAAACATTCAGCTACCTAGCAAATGTAATAAAGAAGGATGGCTGTACCCATAAAACATCCAAGAAACAGCTACCAAACCAGAGCATTCCAATTTGCAAAGATAACATATAATCCTGCTGCTTTGGGTGTGGCTCGATGGCGAGGGATGGTGAGGCTGGGATTCAAAGTGCTGTCTCCAGCATCTCATGGATTAGGATGATGACATCTGAACCAGGGTGAAGAACAGGGCACCCCCATTGCTGTCAGTACTCCAAGCCCTCTGAAGCACCCACTTTCTAACACAGGGGCAGAAAATGGGACAAGAACTGGGTCAAGGTCCTTTGGGTCTCCAGAAAAAGCAGCAGGGACGAACTTGAAAGAGCCCATTTTACGGTACGGGGTGAGGAAGAAGAGGCATGTGTTTAATAGTCTTGTGTGGTTGCAGCTCACTCCTCAAGCAACAGTAACTTCAGCAGCCACCTCATCATAGTTCTACTGTAAATGACACTGGCCCGAGCCAAGTCTGTACCAAAACACCCTCCAGAATTCAGCTGGGGTTAGGTCATCTGCAGTCTACTGACAACTGCTGAACTTAAAACCCCTAACGAGGCATCTCAGCAACAGTATGTGTCCTGCCACTAATGAGGCTCTTTTTCCATGAATAATGAATAAGAACATCATCTCTGTTGCCAGGTACAAACATAAACAAAGCTCAACACAAGGGCCTTGGTATGGTGAGTTTGTCCATTTGCAACAAAGGAATTTTGCAAAGTGAGAGCCAAGTTTTAGTGGAGGGTGGGACAAGCTCTTGTAACGAATAATGTGGACATATGTTATCAGAATCTAATAAATCAGCTTTTGGTTGTTGTGGAACAGAGGCTGTGCAAAGGGATAGAGAGAGACAACAGAAAGCTCCAAATGAGTTCATTTCTTTATTTTACACTCAGTCTCGTAACACAAAGCTGATGATTTCTGTAATGAGCCAAAATCTTCATGAAAGGAGCCTCAGGAGATCTGAGATCCCAAAGGCTCTGTTGGTTAAATCTTTTCTTAAGCCTTGATGTATCAGGCTGAGGGCAGGTCGGCGCTGGGGATGAGAACACTGGAACCTTGCCATGACACTGATGGCTACGGGGCGGCATGTGGAAAAGTGCATGGCCACTTGAACCCATGTGCTGGGTTCTGCTGGTACTAAAAGGCCTGTAATGTATGAGCATTTTGCCTCTAAGGTAAAGTCTAAGCCTCTGGCTTAGACTCCCAAGGTCATCCCAACAGAGATTCCACATATAAACAGAGAACAAAAGTGAGCTGACATGAAGGCCAAACAGTCTTTATTTTGTTTACTATAAAGTGTGCCACAAATACTTTTGTCTCTTTCTAAAATCAGTTCCATATTAGGTAGTGTATATCTTGTTACACAGGGTGCTCATGTTTGCACAGGCCAAGTGATGCCATCACTGGCTGACGGGTTTTAGTTTCCATCAGTTTGAGCAAGAATTAACAATAATATAAAACAAAAACAGTCTCATGATGCCTCAGTTCCTCCAACTGCGGGGGGTAACAACTCTAACCTATTTCAGAGATTCCTTATGAAGAACTGTAGGTCAAAAATAAGACTCAAATAGTATAGTTTGCCCTATATGTTTGATGACTATTTTGACCTGAATAATTATTTTTTTATTTTTATAAATTAATTTTATTTATTTATTATTTTTGGCTGTGTTGGGTCTTCGCTGCTGTGCACGTGCTTTCTCTAGTTGAGGCGAGCAGGGGCTACTCTTTGTTGCGGTGTGCGGACTTCTCGTTGCCGTGGCTTCTCTTGTTGCAGAGCACGGGCTCTAGGCGCATGGGCTTCAGTAGTTGTGGCTCGCAGTCTTTAGAGCACAGGCTCAGTAGTTGTGGCGCACGGGCTTACTGACTCCGCGGCATGTGGGATCTTCCCGGACCAGGGCTCAAACCTGTGTCCCCTGCATTGGCAGGTGGATTCTTAACCACTGCGCCACCAGGGAAGTCCCCCTGAATAATTCTTTAAATGCACTAAAGATGCTTACTTAAGAAAAAATATTTTATAAAGTAAACAATGATCACAAGTAATCACTCCCTAATACCCATTTTTATAAGCAAATATATTTATTTTTCGGGAGACAGTTAATGAAAGATGGCAGAATAGTATGAAATTCTGCAGAGATTCCAGAAGGTAAGTCATGGCAGGTAATTATGTAGAAAATTTTTGTACAATTAATCAAATAGTAAATTCACAGACAATGGCAATATGAGCAGAAGAGTTTTCAAATATCTAGGAGATGTCAGCTTATTTTTCTGGTTTATTAAGAAGAGGCAAAATGTTATTCTGTGCTCATGGGTGACCGCAAAGCCTCTCATATGAAGAAATGGGGGTTATTCTGCTAATGAGGAGAAGACCTGGGATGAAAGGACCATGATCTTATCTTCAAATATTACTGAACTGTCACAAGGTTTGTAGCAAGAGCTACCAGCTGTTCTATTGCTTTGAAGGATCAACATAACCAACAGGTAGTGGTCACAGTCAGCCGATGAGGGGTCACAGCAGGAGCTCAAACAGTCAGTGCTGCTCCAACAAGGTACATGCTATCTGCAGAGGTTCTGAGTGATTCCTGACCACGGAGATCAGGTGGAAATTCTCTAAGAGGATAGTCATCAAAGTGCTGTGCTATAAAAATGATCCTTCTGATCTAATCATTGAAATACATCAAGAAGAGAGGAATACTCAAGTAGATAAAAGTACCCAAGGACTTACCATCATACTTTGCTAAGACCGCCTGAACATCAGCATATGCTTGTAGTTCCAGAAGGGCTTCTAAAAGGTTTTCATGGATGTTGAACATGCTCAGGAGAGGGAACTCCTTCATTAACTAGGAAAGAAGAAACCAAGGAATAATTAATATATGTTTCTTGTCTTTTTAAAGTATAACTAATACTGAGTTATATTTATATACTATATATAAAAGTATAATGTAATTTTTAGAAGTATACTTAATACTGAATGATGAGCATTCATATCAATTATTACGTTGTAAAGCAATAAATGCTTAAATTTTTTCCTGCTATTTTGGAAAAATGGCAACTTTGAATTTGTGAGAAAGTAAGGTGGGAGAAATTCCAAAAGTGAGGAGTTTTTATGAACACTGAGGAACATGCTTAGAGATAGTACTGAATAATGTTAAAATGCCTTAAAGGTCAAATCAAGTGAAGGTTGAAAACTATCTCATAGGTGTTAACAGTTAGCAGTTTTGGATGGAAGCCAGAGCGTAGAAGGAGAAACAAAAGGCACTACTCTTCTGAGCAGCCTGGTGACCAAGTTAAGGAGAAAAAGTAGGAAAATAACTAGAAGGTGATATGTGTTGAGAAATTTTGTAGGTAGTGAGACAGGGAATGTTAGTAAAAGAAGAGGATGTTCAGGAGTTCCTGCCTGGTGGTCTCAATAAAACAGAAGTCAAGATTATTTTCTGAGACTGAGGGAACAGGTGGCAGGGAGGAAATAGGCAGACAGCGGTCAAAGTGTAGAACAATCAAGGATTGCAGAGGCCGTCTTGGGGCCCTAACAGACCATGCATTTGCAGAGGTTATAATTGGCACTGTTGTCAAGTTTCAGCTAACAGTGCTCAGCAGCCCAGGTACAGTGGCAAAGATGTCAAATGATGAGGCTGAGCCTGGGAAGACTGAATTAGATTCAATGAGAAGTCAAGAAGAGAACTGGCTAGAATGGTGAAAGAATGATTAAAGGAATGGCCTCAGGTTCTCGACAGCATGGGGAGGAAGAGAGGTCCAAAGAGAGTTAAAAGATATGATAATGAATTTCACTGGAAAACAAAGAGAAAGAAGACAGGACCAAGAATTTCAGAGTAAAATCTTATCTTCAAGAAAAATAAATCTCACCTTAAGAAAAAGATAACCAGGGTCTTTATAAAGCAAAGACACACACACACACGCACACACATGCCTATTTATATATATGTGTGTGTGTATGTATGTATTGATGTATACGTATATAACCTCTATTTAATCTCCTAAATGGATAACTGTTTTCTATTATAACACAATGACCTCTAAAAAAGTGATACCTTTTTTTTTTTTTTTTTTGCAGTATGCAGGCCTCTCACTGTTGTGGCCTCTCCCATTGTGGAGCACAGGCTCCGGACGCGCAGGCTCAGCGGCCATGGCTCACGGGCCCAGCCGCTCCGCAGCATGTGGGATCTTCCCAGACCGGGGCACGAACCCGTGTCCCCTGCATCGGCAGGCGGACTCTCAACCACTGCGCCACCAGGGAAGCCCCGATACCTCTTTTTTTGATGTCAAAATATTTAACGCAATTGTGCTGGGAGAAATAATACTCAAAAATAGGCTAATTTACTGTTAAGCAAGAAACCAGTGGATACATTGCATTGACTATCCACTTCTTCCAAGTTATAAAATCTTTGCCATATTGTTTTGTTTTTTTAAAGCCAAGAACATTTAGCATATCTCTAAAAATAAGTAATTTTCTGCCGCTCCAAAGCATCATATTACCAACGAATAACACCTATCAAAATGATTATGTCTTCAATAAGCCTGTCTGAACCCCCTAGAGACAGCCTGCAGTATTTTCATTGCTAGTAAAGTAAGTGAATAAGGCTGTATCACACATTGTTCATGTTCTGTAACCAATAAAAGTATTTCTTGTTCTGTGCGGCGAGCCGCCTCCGACCAGCAGAATGACGAGTCGCCACACGCAAGATTCTTCTCGTATCACACTTTATTGGAGCACAGCCTGGTTAAAGAAAAGATGGAAGGAAGACACCGCAATCCTATAGCAGTCTGCTTATATAGGGATTAAGAACATGTGTCACTCTGTGATTGGCTTTCGCCGATGGTGCGACTTGTGAGCCAGCATCGGATAGGTCGCTACTTTAAAACCTCATTAGTATACTTAGCGCAAGCGCAGTGGCCACAGGAAGGATGATTCAGCTTACTTCAGCTTCCTGCTGCGTGGCAGTTAGCTGACCGCGCCCTACATCTCCCCCTTTTTTATTTACTAGAATCACCAAGCAGAATGTAGCCCGTACAAGTGTTCACCTCATGATGTGCTCACTGTTCGAGGGCAGCCTTCCGTTGGCATGTCTGAGACACCTTCCTGCGTGCAATGCCAACAAGGGCTGCAGGGTGCAAAGGCTGACTCAGAATAAGTTTTGATTCCCTATAGAGGTGCAATGGCAACAGGGCCTCTCCGTGCAAGGGCAATCCATTCGAATTGTTTAGGACGGAGATCCAGGCTGCGGGAGAATCACCTTCACTAACAGCCAAAAGCGCTTGAGTGAGTAGGACCTTATCTCGATGTGCCCTGACGCGCATGCGACAGACCAACCAGAGACATATTATAATCCCAAATATACAGCAGAGCCCAAAGATCCCCACCCCTACCCACTCTTAAAAGAAGGAAAAGGCAGAAGAGAGCCAAGAGGTAAAATCTCCAAAGGTAACGGGTTCCAGCTTGGTAGCATTCAGTTGCATAATCTGAATCTTTTGCTTAAATATCATCCGTTCAGCTTCTTGAGACCAGTTTCCCTTTAGGAATTCTCCAATCTCTGCACTCAATCCTTTGTGGAATTCCAACTAATACAAAGACTTCGATTCAAAATAAAATCACTGGCATTATACGGTGCCCAGTCATAATTCAATGGCTGGGTACAGGCCGTATTCATTTCACAACTAGTGGAATAAAATATTGGAAGAACTCTGCTCTGAGAGTGAACCGGCATGGGAACTGGCCAGGTCCGGCTAATTCCCCAGAACGTCATATTCTCTGCCCTAAGCAAGGGAAGAATCATCAGGAACATCCAGCTCAGCATCTTCTCTGAAGTTTTCTTCAACAATTCTCGTCAGTCTTGATGGCACCCAGATCGGATCTTGATCCGACGGTTCACTCCGTGTGTCGAGTTCTGAATCGGTCCTCCATGCAGGGCGCGAAGTTCCCGGGTTTCGGCACCAAATGCGGCGAGCCGCCTCCGACCAGCAGAATGACGAGTCGCCACACGCAAGATTCTTCTCGTATCACACTTTATTGGAGCACAGCTTGGTTAAAGAAAAGATGGAAGGAAGACACCGCAATCCTATAGCAGTCTGCTTATATAGGGATTAAGAACATGTGTCGCTCTGTGATTGGCTTTCGCCGATGGTGCGACTTGTGAGCCAGCATCGGATAGGTCGCTACTTTAAAACCTCATTAGTATACTTAGCGCAAGCGCAGTGGCCACAGGAAGGATGATTCAGCTTACTTCAGCTTCCTGCTGCGTGGCAGTTAGCTGACCGCGCCCTACAGTTCTGGTTCACTTTGATTCTGGCTGACATCACCTTTTGATTTTTTTTCCCTTTATAATTAGTGCTTGTTAGAATTAAATCTCTCTGTCATTCAGCATTTGGCAACACAATCAAGACATTCTCTAACCTGCAACATTTAAACATTTACCATTTTCAACCAATTCTTCAGGTAAAGGTCAAACTTCAAGGACACAAATCATATTCTATAATTTAAAAAGTGCAACTCCAAATATTAGTATGCTGAAGCTTAAAAACTGAGAGGGGGGTCTAATTAAAATCCAATGAGACTAAGAGCAAACATGGAGGTCTTGGCTTGTTTAAACAGAACTTGAAGTAAGATGCTAGGAGTCTGGGCAGCAATGCTTTTGCTGGAAGCTTGGACAGAGTATACCATGTCCAAAAAAATAATCACCAATAAAAGGATTTTAAACATGGCAAATAGCAAATGTTGGAGAGGTAATCGAAGTCATATGACAATTTGGAAATCTAGCTTTGCTTCTTGAATATAAACAAGAAGAAAAAGTGAACCTTCTGCTGCCCCATCTCACTCTAGCTCACACCTGGCCCTCTCCAGCCCTTCACAACAAACTCTCTTAGAAAAAAGCCATGAATGTTCTACTCCCGCAGCTCCCTTCAATCCTCACTGCAAGCTACAATCTGGCTTCCAGCCCCACAATTCCTCTGAATCTGTTCATTCCACATTTCCAGGTGACTTAAATTGCTCCTGTGGACGCCCTCCAGTCCTTTTTGTGCTTGACCTCTGCAACATTGGACAGTTTGATGACTTTTTCCTTGAAACTCTTGTGTCTCTTGGCTTCCTCAACACCATTCCCTTCTGGTTTTCTTCATACTTATCTACTAGCTCCTTCTCTAGTTTCCCCCTTGTCTGCTACTTAGGAGAAGGTTGTCTCCCTGGTTATGCCCCAAGTGCCCTTCACATAAACACCCTCATCTCTAGGGTACTTCTGTGTCCAGGGCCTCAATACCACCACCTTTGTGGGGATAGCTCCCACATCCTCACATCCTCACATCCTGCTCTGACCTCTCTCCTAAGCCATTACATCAATTTACAAACTATCTCCCTGACAGTTTTACCTGATCCATCTAATACTGGGCTCATAAATTTCTCCTCCCCACGCCAACCCTTCAAACCTGTTTCCCCCCCCACACTCCCCGTAGTACTTCCTATTTCGGAAAAGAACCATTAAGCCCCACTAACCTCTTCGCCCTACCCACAATAGCCACCTTAGAGGTCCCTAAACCCCTGAATTCATATGTAAAAAATGCTTGTAGTTTTCATCAGGTTCGAAGAAAGCTCTGTCATGCAAACAAATACATAAACATAAAACAAGCAAACACTTTAAGAATCGTTATCATTTCCTCTTTTCTCTGACCTTGCTGCCAATAACTTAGTTTATGCCCTTACACTTGGCCTAAATTGCTCAAATAGCATCTTCCTCTGCTTACTTCTAGATCATCTTTTTCCAGCCCACCCTTCACATTACTGTCATAACGACTTTTCAAATAAACACACTTGAGTCCATCTCAAGCCTGCTTG